TTTTTATTAGTCCAAAAAGGTCGATTTAAACACTAGTTTTTGAGTATTTTCTCTTTTTCGGTGTTTTTCTTCGCTTTTACGTTCTCCGATTGGCCATCTCCTTTTTAGAGGGTTGTATTACCGGCACAAATAAGTGTATGCCCTATATAGTACTAATTAATCAAATCTATATTAGGTATTGCAATAAAAGCCAATAGTGCAGATTTTATGCATAGATCAGCAAAATTACTATATAGCGAAGATTAGTGTTCAAAAAATTGCTCGCGTACAAACTATTTTTTTCTAGTAAATTATACATAAAACGTTTAGTTTAATGTTTAAACAAAGTTACAGTTTAAAAGTTTATTTTGTTATTTTTCATTTTTCAATTTATTTTTTTGGATTATAAAAGTTAATAATTTAATTAAAAATTTTAAACTGTAACTTTGCTTAATTATATTAAACTAATCGCTTGATGCATAATTTGCTAGAAAAAAATAGTTGATACGCGAGATGAATCAATTTTTTGAACACTAGTCTTTGCTTGAAAATTATCGATTTTTTGCTAATCTATGCATAAAATCTGTACTACTAGTTTTTATTACTATACCTTACATATATTTATTAATTAGTATATCGAAAACCCCAACGTCCTATGAAAAGCCTCCCTAAATGCATGTCTTCTCCTGGCAATACCGTCGCATTACATTTAGAGAGTTCTGACTGTACCCCTCTAAATGCAAGATTCTATATGGTCTGCACTTAGGGAGGTTTGGCGTAAGTTCTATTTAATAATAATTATGATGCATATTAAATTTTTAAAACTATATAAAGGATGCGATTAATCTTTTCAACTGAAATAAACACTATTCAAAAAGTGTAATAACTGCTACTTATCCTGTTTATCCTTAAAAAGCTATTAGAATGATGTCAAAGAGTCCTTCAAATTTTATTATTCTTTTTATGATTTTCATGACCTTTCTTAGATTAATTCGAGGTCAAATCGCTTATTGTGATTTTGAGGATGTTATCGGTCGATTTACTTGGGCAGAAACTTCAGAAAACGATACCCTACTTTATGGAAATTTGTATTCGGGTTTTGACGATCCAGATATTAATAATTATTCATTCTGCTTGGAAGATGAACATGATGAAGTAATGTATGATCTCACCCAAAACTTTCAAAAGAATGTTAAGATTGTAGGACCCGGGATCACACCTTATCAAGAAGATTTTAAAAATGGCTTTATGAAACCTTCAACAGTTACAGGTTTAAGGTTTGTTATTAAGTGTAAAGATAAAACAATTGGAGACAGCACTATTAAGCCTATTTAAATTGCCAATTTACAATTATTTTGCTTAGATTAGTTTATTAATTGATGAAAGATATTTAATCCGTTATTTTAATAGCCTATTTACTGTAATTTATTCGTCGTTAAATGATAGGTTAAATTAATAGTCATTAATTGTATCTTAAGATTTATTTGTGGCTAATTATCTTTTTTCCACTTTAAATATATATAATCAAAATACCTGATTCACCTTGAATTAATCATTCAATATACTTAGGCCAAGTTTTTACTTTTTGCAATGTTCATACATGACTATAATTAATTCACCAATTTAAAAATAAAATCAACCCAAATTCATTATTTTTGAATTTATTTATTGTTTAATAAATATCAATTAGTAATTTTTTGTACAATAAATGCAAAATTTCTAATTCAGTAGTACAATTTAATAAAGACAATAAAAAATTAATACTGTTTCATTAATTGATGTGAATTAACTATTTTACTAGCTACGCACGTGTCACTATGCGCCACATTTTAATTATTACAAAATATTATTCTAATATGCAATGTTTGCGTATTTAATTAAGTATACAGTATAATATATTAGCCGATTATATAATGTAATTATTATAAATTTATAATCGCTAGAAATAAAAAAAAGTACGCATAATCTATTCTATTCTATATTATAAGAGCGTTAGGCACCTTCATAAGTTACGTTCTTGATCTTTGTTATGCTCGATTTGGGCAAATCTTTTGAGTTTTAGCATTTTCAAGTCTTTTGATAAATAGGTATTTGTGCTCTTGTTTTGATGATCTTAATCACTTCAGCTAAATTAAGTGATTTTGGCATAAAGTAAATAGGTATTTGTATTCTTGTCTTGTGAACTTGTCATTAATAAATTTCTTTCTACTTATCGGCTAAATTAACATGAATAAAATGATTTGGACGTGAGAGTAAATAAATATTTGTGTTCTTGTTTTGTTTTCTTAATTCCCTCTATTAATAAATGTTCTTTACATTTACAAACTAAATTAATGCGAATGAATTGACTTGAATGTAAAGTAAATAAGTATTTATGTTCTTGTTTTGTGGACTTGTTTTGATTCATAATTTTATTAATTAATAAATGCACTTTCTATTTACCGGTTAAATTAATGCGAATGAATAATTCAAATGTATTTTTTATGTTCTTAATTCCTTCATAATAAACGTTCTTACTCTCAAAAGCTAAATTAAAGCGAATAAAGTACATTTACGTAAGGTTAATAAGTATTTATGTTCTTGCATTATGACCTTGTTTTCATAAATAAAAAAAATCTAAAATAAAAACTGTAACAAATCAAGAAAGCGCAAATGGTACCAAATTTAGAAACAACTTATTGTTGAACAAAATATGTGGTGCAAAAGGTTATTTTAGATGCACGAACTGGATTGCATCAGATTATTCCTGGATAGGTTTGACTACATAAGTTTTTTTCCTTGGTTTAAGTTATCTTTTGGTGCAGAGATCTGCAATAAAAAATTTCCTTGCAATTCATGAAAGGAAATTTGTCAGGCCTTTTTTATGAAACATTTTAGATATTGCAATAGAAGCGCAATTGCTTTTTTAATTGCAATATTACTGTGCGTTTAATAAACACAAAACTGATCCTCGTTGGATGATAAGGAAGCTTCTTTTTAACCCTTTTATTTGTTTTTTATCTAAATTTATGAATATTGGTCTCGTTTTGTCTTTTTACAGTTGGTTTTTGATAGATTTTTTTACTGGACTGATGAATTAATAATCACAGATATCAAAAACCATAAAGAAGGATTTGATAAAAGTATTTTAAATTTAAATTGTATCCATATTACTCCAGGATTAATGAAACATGATTAAGATTTGATTCTGCAATATTATGTGCCAATTAGCTTATATTTAATATAAAATTTGAAATGAAGACAAGCAATAAACTATAAAATAAAACATATACGTATTCGTCTTTTTCGACTCTAATCTCATTTTCATAACAAATTCAATCTTGACAAACTCCGTCTGAAATTTCTTCTCTGCAGACTATTTAAATAAATAAATGCTTTAGATCCATCTTTTCAGCACCAATTCCATTTCATAACAATGGCCCACCATATAATTCCATCGGAACTTCCTATCTAAGCAGGTCTTTGATAATAAATAAATGCTTTATGTTATAGTTATTGTATGGGTTGTAATGAATGACCTGGGTTCATATTCCGTGCCGAAGTCACGGGATTTAGATATGAACCCGTGTGTGAAACTGGGTTATTTTATACCCATATAATAACTATCTTATTGCGTGGTGTCTGACGTAATAATCCCGTGCCAATGAGTAAATGAAAACACGGGGTGCCACATAAGACCAGTGAAATAAATCATCTTTATCGATTCTGTCCCAATAAAATAACAATTATCAAGATTAAATATTCATCAGCATTTTCCATTTCAATAGATTTTGATTTTGATTAATAGGGATATGTTTTACATTTATCTCTGTCAACATCAATTATGTTAAAGCAATTATTATTATCTGTAGAGTTTCAATCCGTAATCCGTTTATCCGGTTATCCATTGGATATCCGATATCTGATAATAATTGGATAAAATGGATGGATAACCGGATAATCCTATAAATTATCCGGATCATATATTTACTATTAATCAGAATCGATGCAGGGGCAAAATTATCGGTATTATATAATAACAGTTAAATTATAACTTGTAGTAATTTGTATTATAAGTTATGACATATCGATATTATATATGTATGCTTTATACTAGCTCTTAGGACCCGGACGTAGTACTGGTCTTAGTTTTTATTTTTTTTTTAATTCTTAGGACCCGGACGTAGTCCTGGTCTTAGTTTTTAATTTTTTTTTAATTCTTAGGACCCGGACGTAGTCCTGGTCTTAGTTTTTAATTTTTTTTAATTCTTAGTTTTAATAATATTAGTTCTTAGGATCCGGGCGTAGCCCTGGTCCAAGGTTTTAATATTTTTTAAATCTTAGATTTATAAATTAAAATTTTATTATAATTAAATT